GTGTATTGATTGAACCTGGTTGAATCTTGGGTAGCCTTGTCAGGTCAATGCATATCGATTGTGGAGGTGGGGTTATATTTCTCCCATGGACAGTTTCCTACCCCATGCCATCGGTAACCAAAAACCACATGAGTCCGATGATTTCCATGCCAGTGTTGCAGCTGCCTGGGGTCCAGCCGTGGTGGGGATATGGGCAAGAGTTTCATCATCCCTCCGAACCACACCGCTCCCGGCTGTGTAAGCACTTGCACTGCAACATAAGTACCTAATCATGTTGACAGAGCAACCACACAGCAGCAGCTCGTATGAATCAGGACTTTGCTTGAATTGCCTCTGCACATTCTGCACCCCAACAGCTTACTCCTGCCCTGCCTGTTGCCTACTGTTCTTTTTACATCCTTGTCTGTGTTACAGATGGCTATCCCAACTCCTGTTCGTTTTGCCATTAGACCTAGCAGAAATCGATTTATTTTTCTTTAAATAAAAGGCTTAAGCCTTTCCTGGTTGGACCCACATCACATGGAGGCATTCTGCTCCTCATCCAGGTTGATGGCAGATAATAATAATAATAATAATAATAATAATAATAATAAAAATAAATTTATTATTTATACTCCGCCCATCTGGCTGAGTTTCCCCAGCCACTCTGGGCAGCTCCCAATCAAGTGTTAAAAACAATACAGCATTAAATATTAAAAACTTCCCTAAACAGGGCTGCCTTCAGATGTCTTTTAAAGAGAAGATAGCTGCTTATTTCCTTGACATCTGAAGGGCGGGCGCCACTACTGAGAAGGCCCTCTGTCTGGTTCCCTGTAACCTCACTTCTCACAATGAGGGAACCGCCAGAAGGCCCTCGGCACTGGATCTCAGTGTCCGGGCTGAACGATGGGCATGGAGACGCTCCTTCAGGTATACACGACCGAGGCCATTTAGGGCTTTAAAGGTCAGCACCAACAGAAGCAGAATGAAACCAGCAGGTTGTTATCTGAGTGCTCACACTTTTCCTGGATTATCATATTGAGACTTGGGGCACAATCTAATATATTTTCTGCCCCTGCCCCGCTGCAAAACCCCACATGCACCAAAATCCTTTGCTAGTGCTCTAATGGCTATTTTGCCTGAATCCTCTTCGCCCCACGGCTCTTGTCTCGCCAGCTCTGTTGATCTCTCTCTCGCCTGAGCTTCTGTCCATTCGCAATAGGCTCCAGCTGCACATTCAGCAATGCTCAGTCGAGGGGCAAATACTATCAAATGAATCACTCTGAGATAAGGATGATGACTTGTTACTTTACTCAAGGCACTGACTTGTTCCTTACAAATGCAATCCTGCATTTCATACCCACGGCATTACAAACCATCGCAACACAAGCTAAAAATATGTCTCCAAGCTAGAAATCGTCCTTCCATGCATAAGTTCCAGAGCTACCCAGATTTAAAGATTCTCTGGAATTACACTGCAAAGAATTGCTAGACTTGCAATCTGTTTTTATCTTAAAAGAAGGCTTTTCTATATATTATGGCCAGATACAATACACCTGCTAAGTGATGATAACTCTCTTGACCACACTGGAAATGCAGCGCAGTTAATCTTCTCCTGGCTCTGGAAATCTCCCAAGCTTGTGCCATAAATGCAAACATTACAATAATAACTGATTTTATTTTTACCATCACTTCTGTGCCCATGAACCAATTAGCTAAACTTGAGTAGGTGCAATCATAGGATAAATCTTACAAATCTGATGATGGTATCATTATTTTAACACATTTGGCAAAAATGTGACCTCACTTTACTGGACATTCTAATATGATAATCTTGGAATGTATGGGCTGTGATTGTGAGGATGAATGATTCCTGCAAACAAAGCTCATTTGCTGCCTCTTACCTTCCACAGAAGAGAGTGGAGCCCATCTGCCGCTGGTGCATTTTGCTAGCTGTGGGGAACGAACGATTGGCAATTTGGGAGATAGGGTGAATGTACTCAAAACTAGGCATATTGTCCCATCCCCCCAGTGTCTGGTTATTTGCATTTGGGAACAGGCATCTTGTGGATTTGCATTCTCTCTGGATTGAAAAAGGAAGGTTTGTTCACTTGTCTGTTTTGTCAGAACAAGGTGCTACAGAGCAAACCACCAGCCATTAGCAATGAACAAAGGAGGCAAACAGCAGACAGTGGCACTTAGCGAGAGAACATAACATTCTATAATGTAGCATTAGCCCTCCAAAGGTCAAATAGCAAATCACCTTCCTGTATATATGAGTGCCATTTTCTGCCATGGTGTTTATCTGAAAATCAATTCACTCTGAGCTTTTGAATCTCACAGAAACAAAGGGTTTCATGGGGCAGGATTCAACCAATGAGTCTTGTCAGTGGACGCTCTGAGCAATGCTCCCCTCCCAACCCCCTGAAATTGGCTCAGGGGGTCAGGAGAACTCCTGGGGTCATTCCATCTGACAAACCAAAATGCACTGGTGGAGCAATAAGAAGAGTGTGACATTGAATCTCTCCCTTTGTTTCCAAGAAACAAAAGCTGTGCCAGTAGAATCCAGCACCACTTCTGTTTCCCCTTTTCTCCCCAAATCTACTCCAAAGGGGCCCCAAATACTTTGGGACTGATTTTGAGGGCATTTAGGGGGCTCCAGGGGAGAGGAGGAGGATGCTCTGTTTTTGCTAGTGCAAGTCTAAGAACCTCCTGGCATAGTAACACAATTCCATCCCCTCCGTGGAAGCAATTTAAGATGGCGTGGTTGGTTTCTGCTGGTGTCCATTCTTTTTTTTGTGTTTCCTAACAAGTTTCCTGTAGAGGTACTGAACTCTCCGGTCTTCTTGGCTGTTGAAAAAGGAGGCTGAAATTTTCCGGCACAGCCGACGTGAGTATGTTTCCAAAAAGATCATGGTATAAATGATGCAATAGAGGAGCCCAACGGCAAGGACCACAGCTTTGTTGGGAGGGTTTGGCCACCTCATGGGGCAGTTAGCAGAGACAAAGGTCAGATTCTGATGATAGCTCCTTTCAAACGGAGGCAAGGATTGCTCTGTAGAAAAAGCACCGTTAAAAATATATTCCAAAAATGGCACAAAAATCAGCTTCACCTGAAAGAATAAAAGAGAATGATTCAGTAGAAATACAGAAACTCACACAGAGCATTTAGTATTTCTGATCCCATGCTGTGGGATTCTCTTCCAGTAGAGATTCAGCAGGCATTCTTGCTTTCCTCTTTCACAGGAATAGCTTTTTAAAAAAAATTCCAGCAGCTGTTTAATCAGCCAGTCACTTTAATGATGATGATGATGATTTTTAAGTGTGTTCTGTGTTTAATTGTTTTATACTGCCCTGATATTTTCTGATATGGCAGATGGATATGAAACAGTGGAAAATTACTCTTATAAGCTTAAAATCTTATAAGCTGTAAGGTCCTTAGAAAGTTAGTCATATTTACATGCTATCAAAATCATTTGGACAACTTACTCAAGGCTAGCTCAGGACTAGCTACAATCCTAAATCATACAGAGATCTCTTTTAAAATTCTGCTTTACTGCTAAAACTGAGGTAATTATTATCATCTGTACTTTTCCATATTTCTTTTCCTTCTGGCCTCACTGTTTACAGTTTCAGTCCATGTACAACCATGTCTCATATTCATGCATTTGATAAAGTCTAACCTACTATGCCTTTAAAAATATTGTTAGTCATTTAAGTGTAACCATGCTCTCTGGTGTTGTTTTTATGCTTATAGAAAGTAAATTTGTAAAATAGGTTCAGAGGAGTTACTTCTGAGTGAACTTGCTTAGGAAGCTTAGGATTTTGCAAGTTCTCCCACTGATTTCAGAGGGACTGAAGTGAGATTAAAGTCTCTGGATCGAGGACTTAAGAGTTACATTTCACCCACCCCCACCCCCATAAAGTGTGCAGTCTTTATGTCTTTCCATGGAAATTGACCAACAGCCAACCTAAATTACCATATTTTTTGCTCTATAAGACTCACTTTTTCCCTCCTAAAAAGTAAGGGGAAACGTGTGTGTGTTTTATGGAGCGAATGCAGGCTGCGCAGCTATCCCAGAAGCCAGAACAGCAAGAGGGATTGCTGCTTTCACTGCACAACAATCCCTCTTGCTGTTCTGGCTACTGAGATTCAGAATATTTTTTTTCTTGTTTTCCTCCTCCAAAAACTAGGTGCGTCTTGTGGTCTGGTGCATCTTATAGAGCGAAAAATACGGTAATTGCTTTTGAATAGCTCCAACTACTCTTTAGTTGAAAGTCCTGTGATACTGCAGCTTAAAAATGTAACTTTCAAGTTTGGACCCCTATTCTTCTGAAACTGAAATGAGGTGTGATAATGCAGGGCCTAATGCTATGGGGAATGTGAAAGATGACCAATTCCAACCTGCATTTGCAGGAATCACATGATGACCTTTTATGTCCCTACACATCACTTGTCATCCAAATTAATACAGTGGTACCTTGGTTCTCAAACTTAATCCGTTCCGGAAGTCTGTTCCAAAACCAAAGCATTCCAAAACCAAGACATGCTTTCCCATAGAAAGTAATGCAAAATGGATTAATCCATTCCAGACATTTAAAAACAACCCCTAAAAGAGCAATTTAACATGAATTTTACCATCTTACAAGACCACTGATCCATAAAATGAAAGCAATAAACAATGTACTGCAGTCACGCAATCAATCAATCAGTTGCTGAACTGGGTACCACACAGTCACAGAAACAAAACAAAAAAGTCACAAAAATGCAAAATAAACAGCAAAAGCAGACAGACCTCAAAACGGAAGCATGGCACTCAAAACGGAGCACGTTCGGCTTCTGAAAAATGTTCGGAAACCAGAACACTTACTTCTGGGTTTGCAGTGTTTGGGTTCTAAGTTGTTTGAGTACCAAGGTGTTTGAGAACCAATGTACTGCTGTACCATGTTTTGAATAGGAGGCAGGGTTAATTTTAACCATGCTATGGTTGTTTCATTTGTAATTCTGACTGCAGGAGCATTTAAGCAAAATCTTGATTTGCATCGGCATCTTGCATCCTTTCGCTTGAAAATGCCAAGGTAGAGGCTTCCATACTCACCTCATATTTTATGGAGATGACTATTGGCACAACAGGGAACTGGGCGACTTCGGTCACAGCCGCTTGTGCCAAATGGAAGGCGATATAGTCCGTTGCTATGATCACTAGTGTCAACATGAGCACTAAGGTAAGAAGAAAAATGTGCATTACACAAGAAAGGAGTTCCTCTCGGGATAGCTTGAATCCTGTGGACTTGATCAGTTTCTTTGGTGAACAAACTAGCAAGTGAGTTGCTTTGTTCTCCCGAGCCAAATCTTCTAGCTTTTTGGTGATGTAAACATTGTCAAAACGGAGATCTGTGAGGTAGCTCTTTAGGTACCAAGCAGACTCAAATATAAGATAGAAGAGGAAGAAGCCAGCAATCACCCGGTTACCCAACAGTATGACCTTCTGGACCAGCACATCAACTTGCAAGAAATCTTCCTTGATCCCTTGGCTGGCACTGATAATTCTCTGACTCAATAAATTGTTGTTGTTGTGGGTTTCAAACCGGACATGGCCATCCCTAGCTCTCCCTGTTTTGTCCGGCATGTTGTCAGTCACCCGTTTGAGAGCATCACTGAAGTCCCATGAAGCGTTCCCCAAGAGAACTGTTGAGTTCAGAAGGCTCTCAGAGGAATTCTTGCAGATGCATTTGATGACCTGCAGGATGGTTTCGATGTTGCTCATGATGTTTGGCACTATGTTGACAGCCACAATCATGAAGGTGGCAGACAGGAGCAACCTCCGCCCTTGCTTGGTCCCTAAAGTAGGCACAATTATAGTGAACATGCAACGGATAGGGTGCATCAAGAAGAGGGTCAACAGGGCCAGAAAACTAATGGCTGAAGCAGCTGCGGCAGAGAACTGGAAAGAATATTGCAGTGAGAAAAACATCCAGTTGTAGAAGAGTCCTCCAATGGCTGCAGCAATGCAACAACACATCAGAAAAAGAGATAATAGCTGGTTGTGGCTTGATGGCAGAGGTCTGGAGTAAGCAAGCCAAGCTTCCGTGGCACATTCTTGTATCCTTGGGAAGAGAATGTCTTGAAAGTAAGTCCAGACTTCCATCCTGTATTAATAATGAACAGATATTCCTGAATGATATGATTGAAACTGCTAATACTTCAGAACCAGCTCTAACTTGTGTCGGAAATGCAAAGAAATAGAAGAAACTATGTACCATATGTGGTGGAAATGCAAAAAGATAAAGGAATTTTGGGATATGATTTACAATGAGCTAAAAAAAATGTTTCAATTAACCTTCGCCAAAAAACCCTGAAGCCTTTCTCCTAGGTATTATAGGCGTAGATATACCGAAAGATTTGAGGACGTTATTCATGTACGTAACCATGGCCATGAGAATGCTTAGCCCAATGCCGGAAAGGAGATAATATACCAACAAAATGGAATGGCAGACGAAATTATTTCAGTACGCTGAGATGGCAAGAATAACAGGGAAAATCAGGAACCATGACGACCAAAAATTTAACAGAGAGTGGGATAAATATAGACAATACCCAAAAGATCACTGTAAACATCTGAAATCAAAATTTCATTATACAACTTTACTTTATTTCCAACACTTCAGTATTTCTTTTGTGTATATTTCTGATGGAGAAAGATTACTGTGATGTCTTTTAAAAACCAATAAAGATTAAAACGCAAAAAAGGGAGAATGCTAATACTTCAGATTTGCCAAATTTCCAATTTCACCACTCAAGTTTTGAACATGAAATTCAAAATCAACATTCAAATTTTGAATGTGAAGTTTTACCTCTAAATCTGACAGCTTTAGACTGATATGCTTTCATTGTTCCGGGTGGTGTCAGATATGAAATCTAACAAATTATTATTTGCCAAATTCTGTTGCACGAGTGCCAGCCACTGAATAACATTCTGCATTGAATGCAGAATATTACTGCATTTTATCAACTGTGAAATACTGACATGTACTAATTAATATTGTATGCCAGTACTGTGCACTATCACCCCATAGTAATCAAATACTCCCCTCCCCCAATACTGTGTTTGTTCTGAGACTTTTCTGAGCAACTCACCCACCCAGGGTCATATAGTACATACATTCACATGGTATTTCTCTGAAGCAATACATTAAAACTTGCCTCCATTGCCTCAAAAACAGCAGCAAATCCCATTTTTGCTGGTTGCAATCACTTTTTAGCAAACACATTTCCCAAAGCAAGACATAACATAACCATTTTTAATTCTACGGGGAAATTCTCAATAACAGCTTGATAATTTGTTTTTTCTAGACACAGAGAGATGGATATTTAAGTTAAAGTCGATTCTACATACCCAGTATTATGAAGGCGTCTCCAGGTCCTTTGTAACCACTCTGGGATCCTGCAAATTTTCATTTAGTTTTCCTATATTGAAAAAATATCTGACAAGATAATAAAACCACTAACCGAATGAGACAGAACCATTAAGGTAGGCAGTTCTGGACAAAGAGCTGTGTGGGTGTGTTAAAAGCAGACACTTGAAAAAAGGTTCAGATGAACAGCAAAATCTGGTCTGCAAATGTAACCTAAATATTAATGTGGGACACCTCCTCTAAGGCATCCCACCGCTGATGAACATCATGTTGTGGCTTTAGAAGTTGTTGCTGTGTCTCTTAAGGAATCACTACCAGGCTGTATGTATGTGCTGATGACGCCTGTTTAAAAACCACCCTATATATTGCAAAAGTCAATTCAGAAAAAAGGAGAAGAAATAATTCAGAAAAGTTCTATTTTTGCACTGTGGTAAGGCTGGTCGCTATGAGTAAACACTGAATCTCGGTGATGAATTTGCTCAGCTGACTTTAACCTCAAAGTGTCTTGCAAGCCGTTGGCAGCTGCCCACTGTGTGTTCCAGACTGACACACATCCTGCAGGGCTGTTCCCACTGTCTGAAGCCTGGGATGGAAAACTCAGCTATAGTGCAATCCTGTGTCTACTCAGAAGTAAACCCAATTGAATTAAATGGGGCTTGTTGTTGTTGTTTAGTCGTTTAGTCGTGTCCGACTCTTCGTGACCCCATGGACCAGAGCACGCCAGGCACTCCTGTCTTCCACTGCCTCTCGCAGCTTGGTCAAACTCATGCTGGTAGCTTCGAGAACACTGTCCAACCATCTCATCCTCTGTCGTCCCCTTCTCCTTGTGCCCTCCATTTCCCCCAACATCAGGGTCTTTTCCAGGGAGTCTTCTCTTCTCATGAGGTGGCCAAAGTATTGGAGCCTCAGCTTCAGGATCTGTCCTTCCAGTGAGCACTCAGGGCTGATTTCCTTCAGAATGGAGAGGTTTGATCTTCTTGCAGTCCATGGGACTCTCAAGAGTCTCCTCCAGCACCATAATTCAAATGGGGCTTACTCCCAAGTAAGTGGGTTTAGGCTTGCTGCATTCCTGTGACGGACTGCATTTTAAAAGATTGTTGCCACGTATTCAGACTTCTACTCTTGGAAAAAAATTGAATCTGCACTTCTTTAGCTGTTTTGAAAAGAAGCTCTTTGTTATTTCCCAGTACCTTTGGATGCTTAAGCTGAGATTCTTACATTGCCGGGGGTTGGGCTAGATGACTCTTGAGTCTCTTCCAACTCTTAAGATTCAATGGCTCTTGTGCAGATTCTATTCCCTTCAAGGCATCTTGTGCAAGCAACATCATAATCTCAGGATAAATGCCCTTTAAGCGGTTTTTCTGTTCTATGATTTTATTATTCTAAAGCAGGCTCCCAGATGTTGTTGGTCTCCAACTCCCAACATTCCTGGCTGTTGGCAGTGCTGGCTGGGGCTGCTGGGAATTGTGGTCCATCATAATCTAGAGGGCCAAAGGTTCCCCATCTCCATCCCTGTGTTAAAGCCATAGACCATAGGGTGGGACATTTCTGTGCTTCTCTTTCAGCTTGAAAAGAAGCACAGCTAGTTTTCATAATGCTTCATCTGTGTTTGGGAGGAATAGATACAGAGATTCTACTTCCCTTAATGACACCTCCTGTCTTGTCTCCAACCCACTGTCTCCTACCTCTGACTCACATTCCTGGCTCTGACTCTGTTACCCTTCATTAAGAAATAATAGGAAAAAAGCATTATCAGACTGCCAGTCATAGCCCTGAGTAAGGCTCCCCGACCCCCATCCAAAGGGTGACTCTTCATTCCCCCCCCCAATTTTTTAGTCATTTTATAACACAAATAAAAAACACAAACAGAAAAGACAAACAATACGAACAAATTCTTGTTATATCCTCATTTTTCTAAACATTGTTAAGTGGGCTTCCCCAAGTCCCACCTATCTGATTTTCATTTTACTTCATCTTTGCTGTGGGTTAAACCACAAAGCCTAGGACTTGCCAATCAGAAGGTCGGCGGTTCAAATCCCCGTGATGGGGTGAGCTCCCGTTGTTCAGTCCCTGCTCCTGCCAACCTAGCAGTTTGAAAGCACGCCAACGTGCAAGTAGATAAATAGGTACCGCTCCGGTGGGAAGGTAACCGGCGTTTCCGTGCACTGCTCTGGTTCGCCAGAAGTGGCTTAGTCATGCTGGCCACATGACCTGGAAGCTGTACGCCGACTGTATGCTGGCTCCCTCAGCCAATAAAGTCCCCAGAGTCGGCCACGACTGGACCTAATGGTCAGGGGTCCCTTTACCTTTACCTTAGCAGTTTACATATATCATAATTTCTAACCATCTTTTTTTTTAATCACACTTAAAATAACTTCACATTTTATCACTTACAAATAATACTATTTTAAAATACCGTATCTTCTACTTCTAACCCTATAGCCTATATCCACTTCCAAAGCTATTCTAAGGTTTAAATATTTACATATTTTTTTCAAATATTTCTTAAACTTCTTCCAGTCTTCTTCCACCGTCTCTTCTCTCTGGTCTCGGAGTCTCCCGGTCAGTTCGGGAAGTTCCATATAGTCCATCATCTTCATCTGCCATTCTTCGATAGTTGGTAAATCTTGTTTCTTCCCATTCTTCGCTAACAATATTCCCACAGCTGTTGTGGCATACAGAAAAAAAGTAACATCCTTTTTGGGGATTTCACCCCCCACTATACCAAGTAAAAAGGCTTCTGGTTTTTTAATAAATGTGTTTTTCAACACTTTTTTCAATTCATTATAAATCCCCAAAGGATGACTCTTCAAATGGGTTCCAACTTCCATGAGGTGCAGCCAACATGGCCAGAGGTCAGGAATAATGGAAGCTATAGGTGGTGGGGGATGAGTGTTCAGACCCCTGGGCCCTCACTTGTGGGGTGCCTCAGGGTTTCGTCCTCTCCCCCATGCTTTTTAACATCTATATGAAGCCGCTGGGAGAGATCATCAGGGGGTTTGGACTGGGTGTCCATCAATATGCAGATGATACCCAGCTCTACCTCTCTTTCAAATCAGAACCAGTGAAGGCGGTGAAGGTCCTGTGTGAGTGCCTGGAGGCGGTTGGAGGATGGATGGCAGCTAATGGATTGAAGTTGAATCCTGACAAGACAGAAGTACTGTTTTTGGGGGACAGGGGGCGGGCTGGTGTGGAGGACTCCCTGGTCCTGAATATGGTAACTGTGCCCCTGAAGGACCAGGTGCGCAGCCTGGGAGTCATTTTGGACTCACAGCTGTCCATAGAGGCGCAGGTCAATTCTGTATCCAGGGCAGCTGTCTACCAACTCCACCTGGTACGCAGGCTGAGACCCTACCTGTGTCTCGCCAGAGTGGTGCATGCTCTAGTTATCTCCCACTTGGACTACTGCAATGCGCTCTACGTGGGGCTACCTTTGAAGGTGACTCGGAAACTACAACTAATCCAGAATGCGGCAGCTAGACTGGTGACTGGGGGCGGCCGCCGAGACCACATAACACCGGTCTTGAAAGACCTACATTGGCTCCCAGTACGTTTCCGAGCACAATTCAAAGTGCTGGTGTTGACCTTTAAAGCCCTAAACGGCCTCGGCCCAGTATACCTGAAGGAGCGTCTCCACCCCCATCGTTCTGCCCGGACGCTGAGGTCCAGCGCCGAGCGCCTTCTGGTGGTTCCCTCATTGCGAGAAGCAAAGCTACAGGGAACCAGGCAGAGGGCCTTCTCGGTAGTGGCGCCCGCCCTGTGGAACGCCCTCCCGTCAGATGTCAAAGCGATAAATAACTACCTGACATTCAGAAGACATCTTAAGGCAGCCCTGTTCAGGGAAGTTTTTAATGTGTGATATTTTAGTGTATTTTTTGTTTCTATGGAAGCCGCCCAGAGTGGCTGGGGAAACCCAGCCAGATGGGCGGGGTACAAATAATAAATTATTTATTATTATTATTATTATTATTATTATTATTACTATAATTAAGCAACACTGGAAGGCCACACAACGGCCATTTCTACAGTAGAGACAATGCTGTCATTCTACTAAAAAAAACCTTATTTCGGTGACTATAATTGAGGTTTGCCAGAAACAGTGCTTTTTTTCTTTAAAAAATGTTTAGGGGTACTCTCATTTTGACTCAAAAAAATCACCATTTTATACTTCAAATTGGGAAGAATAAATACAGTAAATGGACAAAAGTACAAAGATTCACAAAATGTTTAGGGGTATGAGTCCCCCTGCATCCCCCCAGAAAAAAAGCACTGGCCAGAAACAATTTCCCATACTCCCATTTAAAAACAGCATAATACTTTATCAGTTCTGTATCATATTTGTGTAGTCTTTCAGGCCTATCTTAGACGTCAATCATCATAGTGGTGGCAGAGAGAAAGAGAGAATACATTAATCGAATATATAATATATCATTCCCTCAAATAATTCCGAGAAGTATTCCCAAATGTTTGAAAAAGCCTTTTGAAAGTTTGTTCCCTGTTTCATTTTCTCCAGTTCTAACAAACATATTGGCTTTCTGCAATGTCCTTATTTATTTTCTTCTGCCGTGGACCAACATTGCTATCGATGCTTTTTATGGCTTGTGTATTATTTACGTTCTCCATTTCCTTTTACAATGGGAAGTTTCTTTGCAGCCTCACAGTATTTACTTTCAAGAAGACAGAACAGGAAACTTCAAGTTGTGTTAAGGAAGTGAAAGAAAGAAAAAAAGTTTTAGCTGTACCATTAATTTTCATGATGAAAACCCCATTCATTTAGTTATTAATTCAAATCACATTCATTTTTATTCATTTCTGTCATTCCATTTGTTTCCTATGCCTTTCAGTGGGAGACCCAGATGCTCTTCTGCTGCCTGCAACTTCTGTGATTTCCATCCAACTGGCACAAAATATTCAGATAGTCTGCTATCTCTCCAAGAGATTTTTTTTTCACCTGTCAAATTTCAGCCAAATGGAAAGGGCTCCATTTTATAGGTGCGTTGAAATGGCATGCTAAAAGTGCATGCATGCATGCATTGGATATGC